AAACAAGAGAGTAAGAATGAACATAGAAACAATTATACATGATTAACAACATATTTTATTGCCTAAGCAAACTAAATAAAAAAAATACAGAAACACTAAATGAGGGTGTGTTTGTAGAGTTATCTTTTGTGCTTATTTGGGTGAGACTTACATTTGAGAAGATGTGTGTAAAATAAGTTTAGGTCATTTGTATACTGTGTATATATTTGTGTATATATGATGGAAAATATTAAAAGGTCATATTTCAGAAGGATATAAAAAGTTAGGAAATTATTAAAAAGTAATTTCTGAATTCTTTGGAAATTTAATGGTAGAACTTTGCTATGTACACCTCAAGTATAACTACAAATATAAAGAATAACGACTTGAACATCTTTCTATCGTTCTTAAAAATTTTCAAGATCACACTATTGCTGCTGAATAAGTTGAGGCTGAGAGTGGGAGCAGAAAAATGTAAGAATGCTGGAAAAACTAAATAAAAAATTAATGAAATTTTCCTTGTCTGTCATATTCAATGAAACATGCTTAATATATAAATATATACATATGTGTGTGTGTGTGTGTGTGTGTGTGTGTGTGTGTGTGTGTGTGTGTGTGTGTGTGTGTGTGTGTGTGTTTGTGTGTGTGTGTGTTTGTAAATATTCAGATATGAATAAATGTAACTGCAAAGAAAGGAATAATAAGAGGAACTTTATCAAGGCAAATGTTGAAATTATAGTTAGATATTTTCTTGCCATTATTCCAAGGACACATGGCACACTGGATAAAGGTGCTGGTTAAATCCATTGTTAGGACCCAATGAGTGTGAGTTCAATACCTGGTTAAGGAAGTTGGAGAGGGGAATTATCAGGAGATAACTGATAACTGGCATCCATGGAACTAGAGCAGTCTACCCGAGGGTTATAAATTTTTAAAGACTCTTTCAAAAAATTTTTTTATACAAAATTAATGAACTTTATTAATTTTATGAATTGTGTACTGAGCACTTTCGTAAAATATGCATCCATTGGTCTGACTCCAATCTGATCTAGCAATATTTTATATTCATATATATATATATATATATATATATATATATGGGAAAGACTGCTGAAAGGTTGTCAGGCCAATCATGACATCCTTATGCCATTCCCAAATAAAAGGTGACTTCTTGATTGGACCAATAAATTTTAGCACCCTTAAATTCTCCTCCCTGCAAAATTTATGGTATTTGATCATTTGGGCAGAATTTAGAAATTGGGTCAGGTCATAAACTTTTCAGCACTCCCTCATCTAGATACAGAAAGATTGGTTTTATAATTAGTTTGTACTATTTGATTTTAAAATTTATATACAATATATTCCTGGCCATTTATTCATTAGTGTCCCAAAGATTCAAATCAGAAATCTATATAAACTGACTAATTAATTTAGGCTAACTCAGGATTGATGTGTTGCGCATATATGAATTTCTTTATAAATTGGCTCAATTTGATTTCTACATTGACTTCCTTTTGAAAAACTTTTGATTGAATTATGAAACTTTCCTAATTATAAATCGAGGAAAATTTCTCAATGACATAAATTCATCAAGATGAAATTAAAAGAAGTGACTAAGCATTTTCAATCGAAGGTAAAGAGATGATGAAATTTAGTCAATTTGAAAAGAACAGTCTGTCTGAATTTAAGGATGAAAAATGATTATAATAAATATTAATATATATGATCGCTGCATGAGTATGCTTATGTCATGAAATTTTAAAATCATACAGTATATAATTTTGACAATTTTCACTTCAAAAATAAAAAGTTTAATTTTCAGATGAACACAACAAATTTCTCTTGGATAAAACAAAACCTTGATAAAACAAGACACTTAAAATAACATTTTGCTGATGTTGAAAGTACTTGAAATAAACGAATAGGCATCAATATAGTAACTTTCTTTCTTCCTTTAATAAGGATACTAAGAAGCTTGTCTGTGAATATGAAAGGATTATATTAACAATAAGTAGACAAAACTTGTCTAAATTATTTAATGAGACATGTCTTTATATATATATATATATATATATATATATATATATATATATATATATATATTTAGTTAAAAATTATAACATATGTATGTTATAGCATCACTACAAAAATAGCCATTTTGTTTCAACACTTCTGGTGTTGCTAGGGATGGTGTTTTTAAAGAGTTTAAAAACCAACCACTACCTCTACTGAGTGAAATATTTATTTGTAAGATGTAATGGCCAATCAAGTTACAAGTATATGATAATTCAAATAACTTGACGATGGACTCTAGATAGAATTTATTAACACTTTAAAATAAGTGCTAGATTTTGTATTCAGATATATATATATATATATATATATATATATATATATATATATATATATATAGTGCATGTGTGTGTGTGTGATGGTTAAATGGCACTGATATCTTATTTTAACAAAATTACACAAAAATATCTTAAAATCATCATCATCATTGTCATCATCATCATCCCCT